ACGAAACGTTTCTCTATGAGCCAGAGGAAGCTGAGGACGACGAACCGCCGCCAGTAGAGAAAGAAGCCTCAACTAATAAAAGACGACAGGAAGATCAAATGATGGCGTTGGTCCAACGCAAGGCAGAGGAGAAACGGCTGGAGGCGAAACGCCAGCGGCAACAACAAGTGAAATCCTTTGAAAGTGCCTATTTAGAAATGTTTGCCAATTCGTTGCAAGCCAAAAATCTGAAAGGATCTACCGCCGCGGCAAAGAGATTTAATGGTTAGTGCATACAATAAGGTTGATTTTTAAATAAGCAATTAATATCACATTGATATTTTTCTTCCAGAGAGTTCATCCAAAAGTCGAAGCAGCAATTCCACGGACTCGACAAACAATCAAATTGTCATCGATGATGATGACGAAGATAGTCTCGTAGACGGTGAACCACGTTCACATCGCATTTACAAGGTTGTACCGACACGCCTGTTAGCAGCGGAAAACTCGGATAGCTCATCGGATGATGAGCCTAGACCAAAGCGTGGCCGACCGCGCAAGCAGGACCTGAGCAACTTGAAACCACAGAAAAAAGCAGCCGAGCCGGAGCTTATCACTTGCGATAGCACATCGAACGATTCGGTGTGTGATGTAAATGATATGCCTGCACCAGATAGCAAAGCGCCCAAGAACATAAATCCCAACTGGCACGCGGCCAACGGTGATTGGTGTATCATTTGTAATAAGCGCAAGCCACGCGTCGTTTCCCACTATGTCAACGAACATCCCGCTTGTGAGGTGTACAATTCACGCATTCCGAAAACGGCTTTGGCGCAGCTGCGCAAACAAGGTGGGCAAGTGTGTGAGAAGAGTCATCCTTACTCGTACGCCCAAGATCATTATACGGCGAATTGTGTTTTCTGCAATAAGACTTGCTGTTTTCAAATTAACTATTGGTATCGGCACTATGCCATACACACAGGCGAATATGCTTTTCGTTGCAGTGGCTGCAATATACGGAAAACAACAGTTACGCTCATGAAGAATCACATTAATCAGCCATGTCCCAGACGCGGCAGGCTTATCCAAGAGTATGCGTACGACCTACGCGTCAACAAAATTAAAATGCACGTGTGCAAGCTTTGCAATTACATGCAATTGCATAGGCGTAATGTGCTGAAGCATCTCCGAACGCAGCACGGCTTGAAGCAGATTAAAGCAAAAAATATCGAAAGTGTCATCTTGCTTCGTATGCCAGAGACCGAAGAAGCAAACAGTACGCAAGAGATTAACGAGTTCATGGATTTGAGCAGCGGTGGCGATGAGAACAGCAGCCAGATGGCTATGACCTTTAATTATGACAACTTTGACGAAGCGGGTGCAGTCAATATGTGGGACGACGGTGATCCGACAGATGATTTATCATATATGATATGCGGAATGCTCGATGTGCAAATGAGGGATGATGGCGAGTAAACGACGGAGCGAATCGAATGTCAATTTATACTTTTTTCTCTCTGCGCTCTTTCGTATTCTAATTAGCGAGACCCTTGAAATATTTTTCATTTTTACTTTAGTTCGTAATTGGAATATGTTTTTGTTTACTTTAATAATTCATGAAATAACTTTTATCTTTAAACGTTAGCATTAAAAAATTTACAGTCAATCGGTGAAGTTTACAGCTCTTTAGTTAGTGAGTAAGAGATATTTGCAAATCAACTGACTATCGAAAAAGAGTAAGTCTCTGTTTAAAACATTTAAGGAACTAAGGAGTTTCTTTCATACACTTGAGAAAATCAAAAATAAACTCTTGACTAAACAAATACTAATATACATATTGATTTTCTGTATAATCGTATTTTTTGGTATACATATATATGTATGTCGAAACTGATTAGTGGTAATAGCAAATAGATACATATGTATGTAAATATGTACATACATCTATCGATATTGACATCATTTCCCTGTAAACCAGGAATCTCAGCGCAGCATTTTGTAGCTTAGAAACAGAAGCTAACGAGGTTGGTCTGGCGGTGAACGAGGACAAGACAAAGTACTTCCTGGCAACACATAAAACGTCTTCGCGTATTGGGACACAAGTAACTGTTGGCAGTCATAACTTTGAACTTGTTGTAGTTGTTGTAGCGGCTAATATCTCAGTCGTTGTCGTCAAGCTCCAAGAACGGAAGCCCTAAGAAAAGTGCAGCCTCAATGGGGTCGGTCCACAGGGACAAAGGCGTTTGCGTTGTCTTGTTTTCCGGGCATACGAAGAAATGTTCCGAGTCGTGGGGTGTTTCTCCGCTCGCCGGACACTCATTTGGCACATCTGCGTCTAATCTGCTCAGATTTGAGTTTAACCTGCTGCAGTAGCCAGAGCGAAGTTGGTCTATTGTAAATGTAAACAGAATATCTGAATGCTACTAATAAATCATACTTCTACTATTGTGGTTCTTTGAAGTAGTGAAGGACTTTGCTAACTTTGGATCCAGCATAAACACCACCAATAATGTCAGACTGGAGATAAATCGAAGAATAACTCTTGTCAACAGGTGCTACTTTGGGCTCGGTAGGCAATTGAAAAGCAGAGCCCATTTTGCCCGTCCTTTTATATGGCGCAGAAATATGTACCATATCTAACAAAGATGAGAAGGCTTTGGGGGCTTTCGAGAGAACTATTCTGCGTAAAATCTATGGCCTCGTTCGCGTGGGCGGTGGACATGGACATATTTAGTTAAGCGCATAAAAATACAGCGATTGCTCTGGCTTGGACATATTGTACGCATGGATGACGACGCTTCGGAGAAAAGATCCTTCGACTCCGCCCCCATGAGTGGACAACGAAAGTAAGGGCGCCGACGAACACAATGGAAGGACCAAGTGCAGAAGGACCTGCCCGCACTTGGAATGAACAACTGGCGCAAATCTGCAAAGGAGAAGTTTTTTGTTCTCGGCCCAAACCGACACACGGTTGTAGCCGGCACAATATTTTAATCGCATCGGTGCAGGAGGAAAACTTCCAAAACAGCTCCAACTTTGTCACCTGCAACGGTTCTAGCATCCAGTTGTTGGTCTAATAGCCATGTCTACCTGTATCGTACTTTGGATTATCTATAGCGATTAAACTCATCTGAATTTACTTTTTACAAGCTTTTGCTTAACTTGTTTTGTATGTATGTACGTAAGTATGTTTGTTTGAGTCAAAACTTTCAATTAATTTTTAACCATCTCCGCGATGAGCTAGAGACTTGAAATTTCAAACTTCGCTCAGAAATCAATGACAATGCAATATGAAAGAAGAAGGAATCCGTTCGGGGGCAGAGGAGTCGAGGTATTTGGAAAACCCGTATTTATAGTCTGATTTGGTTCATATTTTACCTATATGAAAAAAAAATAATGAGAAAACAAAAATTTACGCTACTGGACTCAGTAGACGACAGTCAGAAGCCAGTTGCCGTACGTAATGCGAATTTTAGTATATGGTTATAAGGCCATAAATTATCTGAAATCCGTGAATCGTGAGGTATATCTCGCAAATATTACCTATCTGCATCGCGAATCGGTAATCGTCGCAATTCCCACCAGCAGAGGAACATAGTAGGCAATGGCCTCCTCACATTTCCGCCAACGATCAGAATGTGAAAATTTTGAAGACGGCTCACAGACAATTCCCCCAAAATACTTCTATATTGAATAAATACTCACCCTCTAATTGCAATCCGAAGTGAACACCTTCGTGGCGTGTTTGTCGAAATGTCCGATGTATCTCGGCAAGGGGCAGATTGTAGTCAGCAATTTTACATACCGTTATTATATCAGTAAATTGCCTAGATGATGTGTTCATCAGACGCTCGTCGTATGTAGCTAATATTTTGTTTATATTTAAGTCCAATAGTAAAATAACACCTTCTTCGCTGCCCACAGCTAGGCAGCCATCAAAATTCTGCAACAATGAGCGCCGGCAACAATTTCTATTTACAAACGCTGCTGCAGTAATATGAAGAGACAGTTCCATACAACTCAAAACTTGGCCATGTTCTACAGAATAGATTGCTACAAAACTGCAACCACCTCCTGCCGCACGAAAACACTCTATACATATAGCTAAAAGCACAGTTTCGTTGTTGTTCGGAAATAACTCCTCTACAAATCGTATGCAACAGTTGTCATAGCCACGCGCTTCCGTGAATTCATAGGAGGCAAGAGTTTGTCCATTACGTAGCGCAGTGATTTCCAACACATTTCCGCTAGTCAGCCAGCCCCATGCACCTCGTTTTATGATACCGCCTAGTTGTAGGGAGCCTGAAATGTGGCATGGCATAAGTGTAACTTAACGTTACAAATGGGTTGTATAAACCTATTTACCAGCAAAATCTTCATCAGCCGATTCGGCTGCAAGATCGTTTTGTTGCAAATTTTTTTGATCCCGGTGTTTAGGGATGCACGGTTCATGAGCTCTCGGTAGAAATTTCACTGTGCGCTCACCGTTTACTGCGATCTCGTACCACTCCATAACTAACTTCGAATTTTAGTTACACTCAATTAAAAATCACGCAATTTTTCGCAAACTAATTCAATTTCAATAGAAATTTGTTATTAAAAAAGTTCTCATTCCGCGCGTACTTCATATGCAGATGATGTTTTTCTACTCCTATTTCACCTTGAGTATGTTCAGTGGCAGTAAAATGATTTGATGAGGAAAGACCTTTTTTGAATACAGCGTTGCATAGAGGAGTGCAAAGGAAGGACAAGTGGTAAGTTTTATAAAAGTTTTCGATTATTTATGCACATGTAGTTAAAACTCATAATCAAATGTAATTTTTTCTTGAATATAAATTATTTATTTATTTTCATATTCCCTTTAAAAATGTTTTGGTGTCTTACGAAAATACGAGTAGTATATGCATCAAATAGGAGTAGTCTTTTATCGACATTTCCAACCCTGTATTTAACAAGGTGATACGGGCTTGCTGTGCTGTGCTATGTAAAATTCCAACAAATAAACTTTAGCACATTTTTTTGAAGTCTGTTTTATGAAAAATTTACTAAAGAGAATTTTTGCATGAAAAAAGACAAAATACTAAATCGCCCGTTGAAAGTAAATAAAGGTTACAAGAAAAAAACTGCACCGGTGAAGGAATCATATCAGATACACGCTTGCTGCAGAGAAAACGAAAAGCTAAGAAATTAGATTCTCTGGGGGGTGGTGTAGAACGAGGATAGGAAACGCTAACATCGGAAACTGCACACACCAGGCAATTCTATACAGTTAAAGGGAAAAGAAAATTTTGCAAGATTTGTGTGTGTGGTGTGGTCACATAAAATACGTGAAATATCGGTGAGTATTTATGAAATTCAGCAATCCAATTGTATATGATGATTATCTAGTATTTGATAAACTCTTAGGTCGTTCTACGACTGCCAAGTGTTAATTGATAGTCGCAGAACACCGACATTAAGATGACACAACGAGGAAATGTGGCTGCACTTGGTGAAGAGCTTGCCCAGGCAATTGAACTGATTATGCGTCCAGATACGGCTCAACAGGCGCGCATGGAAGCCTACATGGCTTGTGAACGCTTTAAAGAGGAGTCGCCGTTATGTGCGCAAGTTGGCCTTTACCTAGCCAGCGGCCAACAATTCGGCCAAAACGTAAAACATTTTGGCTTACAACTAATGGAATACACAATCAAATTTAAGTGGAATAGCATTTCACACGAAGAGAAACTTTTTATAAAGGAAAATGCCATGAAACTTTTACATTTCGGTGTCGGTCCAGCAGAAGATGCGAGCTTGGCTCATTTGAAGGATGCACTGTCGCGCATAATTGTAGAAATGATAAAACGCGAATGGCCGCAGCAATGGACGACCCTATTAGCTGAGCTATCCGATGCCTGCAATAAAGGCGAACCGCAAACTGAGCTGGTGCTGCTGATTTTCTTGCGACTCGTCGAGGATGTCGCCTTGCTACAGACCATCGAATCGAACCAGCGACGCAAAGATATGTATCAGGCACTTACCAACAATATGAACGATATTTTTGAGTTTTTCCAACGTCTGATCGAACTGCATGTTACGTCTTTTCGTGAAGCCACTGCGCACGGCCACTTTCAGAAAGCAAATGCACACGGGCGTGTAGTTGAAGTTGTGTTGTTAACACTAACTGGTTTCGTTGAATGGGTTTCTATGAACCACATAACATCTAATAATTGCAAATTGCTACAAATACTTTGCATTTTATTGAACGATAAAGCATTCCAATGCAACGCAGCCGAGTGTCTCTCGCAGATAACCAATCGTAAGGGTCAAGTAAAAGAGCGTAAGCCACTGCTGATGTTGTTCGGGGAAGAACCGATGCGTTATATATTCACGGCCAGTCAAATACTGCCAGACATAGCCACCGCTGGTGCTTTGGAGCAAAACCACAATTTTCTCAAGAAACTTCTCAATATGCTAAGCGGTCTGGCTCAGCAAATCGTAATACTCTGGGGCAAAGAGGATGGTAGCATACAACGCCCACCTCACTTCGAAATATTTCTTGAATGTTTGCTTTTGCTCGCACGGCACCCATCATTGACGGTAGCGCATGGTGCAACGCTTATCTGGAATGTGCTCTTGAAGCACGATGGCATTTCCAAAGATCCAATAATGACCCCGTACATTCCAAAATTTATTAACGTTATCGCTCCGCGCATCATTAAAACCCTGTATCCTAATATGCGCACTTTGCCCACTGCTGTTTCTACCGCGGCGTACATCTGCTTAGAATACGATAGCGAAGAAGAGTTTGCTGTTTTCTATTACCGTTGTCGCACTGATTTTCTTGAGCTATTTCGCCAGTCGACGCTCATTCAGCCTATCGTTACATTCAGCTATTGCGAACAATGGCTCAATGCTCGTTTAGCAAAGGCACATACTGAACGCGATAATATTAATTGTTCTGTTCAAGATCCCGTTTATTTGGAGTGGGAGGCTTTGGTTTGTGTCATTGACGGCGTTCTTAGTCGCATTTTGTTGGTTTCAGATCGGCCGGCGGTGCAGTCGGGATTGCGTTTGCTGGAAGAGTGTCTGAAAGTGGAAACCAGTAATCCGCTAATACTCTCTATATTGCTATCGTGCATCTCGGCACTTTTTGTGTTCCTCAGTATGTCGTCGTGTCAGATTACACCAAACAATTGCGTAGCCATGAGTGGCGTATCCTTGCTTCCAAGGGTATTGGAGCGTATTTTCCAGGCTCTGGTCTTCCGAGATCCTACCGAGCCGAATATAATGACGACTAGGGCACAAGCCGCCAAAAATTTGCGCCGCCATGCGGCCTCGTTAATGGTGAAGCTGGGCCACAAATATCCTTTATTGCTGCTCCCAGTATTCGATCAAATCGACACTCACGTGAAAGCCCTGCTGGATGATCCGCGGCATGCCCTGAACAAAATCGAACGAACTACATTACAGGAGGCTCTACTATTGATATCCAACCACTTCTGCGATTACGAACGGCAGACTGCATTCGTAGCAAATATAATGAAGGATACACTACCGCATTGGCCGACCTTCGCAGAGGTATTCAAATCGGCATTTACTTTTATACAGTTTGTGGGTCTCGACAAGCCGGCTGTTACACCGATTCAATCAGATCCACTCAGCGCGAATCGGGGCCATATGTTGGACGCGCTAAATGTGGTGCTAGCCGTTATCAAGCGCTGTACTTGGCCTGACGATCCGGATCGGGCATCCCGCGGTGGATTTGTTGTCGGCTTCACCGAGCTCGGCAATCCCATTTGCCGCAATCCAGCCACACCACACGTCATTCCTCTACTGCCACATATTCTTGCTTTGATGCGCGTGCTCAACGAGCTCTACCGACCACAGGCAATGGCTTTGCTCTCGGAAGACTTTCGCCAGGTTTACACCATGTTGGAGCATGAAAAGAAAGCCTTGCTAGGCGTATGCACACCACCCGCCGACCCGCTAGATCCGACCGTCAAAAAGGTGACCACCACTGTAGACCGCTTACAGCAATTCATGTCTTTGTTGTACGACAGCTGCTATCACATGATGGGCTCGGCGGGGCCTTCTCTAGGACGCGACCTCTACCAGTTGCAGGGAATTGCTGATGCGCTAATCAATAGCGTTTTCGCTTCATTAGAAGAAGTGCCCGACTATCGACTGCGCCCCATTGTACGTGTCTTCTTCAAACCATTTGTGTATTCTTGCCCACCCACCTTCTATGATTCGGTGCTGGTCCCGATATTCGCACATTTAACCCCATTCATGTGCTATCACTTGGTGCAACGTTGGACTTACATATCGTCTTTGTACGAATCGGGCCAGTTGAATGAGGAGTCGAATGGCACACAAGAAGTGCTGGAGGATATGCTGAATCGTTCTTTGACGCGCGAATATCTGGATGTGCTGAAAATTGCATTAGTTGGAGCAGGTCCTGACAACGTGCATGCGCCGGCAAACGTCACAGATGTGGCCATGGAGCCGGAGGAGCATTCCATGGACGGCACAACGCATTCGCGGGCGGCTCAATCCGCTTTGCTGTCAGACATCATCAGCGATTTGGGTGCGAAATTGCTGCGCAATGGCGCAACCAGCAACTACATACTAATGACGCTAATGGCTGCACTCTCTTGGCAAGATAGCACCTGCAGCATGAAGGCCGTCAATGTAGTGGCGCCTGTGATGCGCTTTCTCGCCACCACCGAAGCACAATTGATGGACCAAAATAAAGCCACAACCGCATTCCACGCCGTTTTGCAGGGACTTCAAGTGCACGGCATGCATGAAGCCAATCAAGCGGGCCTCATAACACTCGGTGTGCAATTCTATGAGTTGCTACGTCCCAAATTCCCTGTGCTCAGCGATGTATTACGAACTATACCAAACGTCAATGCGGCAGACATTCAGAAATTCGATGAGAAAGTGAATGTGGCGCCACTGAAAGGTAACAAGGTAGACAAAGCGAAGAAGGATCTATTCAAGAAGATGACTGCACGTCTGGTGGGACGGAGTGTGAATCAGATGTTCTGCCGCCAAATCGAAATTCTTAATTTACCGCCAATGCAGGCGCGCGCGCCCAAACCCAACTCTGATATTGTGGACATTACACAGAATGCGGGACTGACGAAGCTATTCCGCGCGGAAAAGTGACCGGAAGAGAAAGCAGCCAATGCAACTGTTGAAAAATGTGAGATTTGATGTTACTTGTACTTATTTCTCTGTAGCTCTTGCTGATATCTTTCATTTTGCAGTTTGAATTTAAGACTTCGGGAACATGTATTGTAACATGCCGCGCTATGTTATTGCGCAACAAATGAGGGTTTTGTTGATGAATTTGCATTTGCGATTTGCATGAAAGGGGAAGGTACATTAGCAGCATAAACGCATGCATATATAAGTATAAAAATACTACTTAGGGATGTGGCCGATTGGCGATGTCGCATATACATCCTTTTCCAACAAGAAATACATTATGAAATGGAGAAAGAAATTACTTATTTAGCTACATATGAAGTAATTTATATAAATTTTACATATTATAAAAATATACATATATATCTTTACATATGCATACATATGTATGTATAAATGCTATGTTAATTTTAATTTCGAGTTTTAAAAAATTGTTTCTGATTGCGAAAAATTGCATTGTTTTTTTTTATGAATATTTTAAAATATTATGTAAGATTTTTTTTTTTATTAAGATACATATTATAATCGAAGAAATACGAACGAAATAAACGAATTGTGTTTAAGCTGTGCGCAGCTTGAATGGTAAATGCAAAAGCGAATGCAGCAAGTTTCACTGTGCTGAGATGGAAATTGTTTTGGTTCCGATTGAAAGGGTAATAATTCCGGCTCCATATCTGAGATCTCGACTCGTAAATTCGGCAGGACTTGTGGCCAGATACAAGGCAATTGGTTAGACGGTTCTGAATTAAAAACTTCAATCGCAAAGGTATGCAGAATCTAAAGGCTGGTCATATTTTGGCGACAAAATTTTTCGAAATATCCCCTTTATCCCTTCCCTTACCGATTATATTAGAGACCAAACACGGACATGTGATAGTTTATCCACGCATGTACACGACTGTTTTCTTGTCGGCCGACAAAGAAACGATTCGTCGTCTTCGGTGTGGTTTCACACTTAAGATTGTAAGTATACATTTATGTACATATAACCTTAATATTTTTTATTTGTTCGATAATTTTTTATCAGTCCAAAATTTTTAATATCTATGTATGTATGATCGTAAGCTTCACTAAATACATATGTAAACTATCATACTTTACATATATGGCAATTTTTTTTTAATTTTTTAATATACGATTTTTGCTTTTATTTTTATAATTTTCAGGTTACTTTTTCATTTAACTAAAATAAATTCAATTTGATTAATATCTGCGTATAAATTCAAATTTAAATAGGAGCGTTTTAAATATCGTTACCTTAATTCACAAGCAACAAATTTTTTATTTTACAGGAGAAGCAAAATATATAACAAGTAACTTTTAAGCCAAAAGCAAAACCGTCTCCAATTCTCATATAAAAATTTAAGATTATCGTTAATTTTTTCATGATCCAATGATTGGATTTAAACCAAATTAGTATGGGACCACCTGTGAGGTAACACCTTTCCTTTAACCCTTTCGACCCGGATGGTACATATATGTACCACCAAAGTTTAAACATCCCTAAAACTTGTAATTTACATTTAATCACATTTATAAGGGTACCACGTCGTCTGTTAGGAATTTTACCATCAGCCAGTACTCTACACATTCAGTTTTGCATCTCCTGTTACGCCCAGTTTCGTTTCATTTCTGGGGAGAGGCCCTCCCGTTAACGTTTTTGTACAGATTTCCTTGCGTTTGTGAAAATTGCTTAGTATATTTAAATATATTATAGGAAAATAAAGGTGTTTCTAATTATTGCCTGTAAATACGGTAATAAATTTTTATTATAAATATATATTTATATTTTTATTATAAACCTCTGTTTTCACAAATTCAAACATATGGTACATATATGCACCAGCAGTCTCCTTTGGTGGTACATATGTGTACCTGTAGTCCGGTGAACATAACTTAATTTTTTATCGATTTCATGCAAGATAAGCCAACGATATGCCTCTAAATCCGGTAAGATGGTGTGATGCTGCAACAGGGTATTTAGAAAGAAAATGATATTACTTCGTGTTTCTAATTTGCTAATTTATTGAACTATATTCCTTATTCAGCCGTTGGTACTACATATAATGGGTAACAGAAAAAAACGTACCTAAGTTTACTAGTAAGAAAATGCAAAGAGGAGAAATAGAATTCAAAAGCACATCTGCAGGCCTTCTATACGTAAGGACACGAAAGGGGTTTTATAATAAGGAATTGCCACAAACCAGGCCTAATAATTATGAAAAAACTTTGAAAACAGGCAAGAAAATGCAAGTGCCATGTCCAAACTAAATACAATTTTATCGTCAAATTATGGGAGGTGTTGATTTAGTAAATCAAATGAGTGGCCTGTACGAACATGATCGAAAATCAGAAAAATAGTGGAACAAGGTCTTTTACCGTTTTCTAGTGATGGCAGCCGTGTGGGTTATTTACAATAAGCTAAGGAGGAATAAAATGCTTTTCAAATCATTTTTGGTGACCTTGGCCGAAACTCTGATAGAACAAGGTTCTAAAACTACAGCCTTACGCAGGCCAGTAGCACCAGGCCTAGAACGTCGTGTCGTGAATCAGATACATATTTCCATTCAAAGCACCACACAACAACGTTGCATAAAAGCAAACTTGAACAAAGATAATCTGCCAAGAGTGCAAAGTTCCTTTGTGTAAATTCTGTTTTGCAACATTTAATTATATTTTAGGAATTCATTACCAATTTATTGTTAATTCTTTGACTGTTTATTATTACTAAATTTGTGCATTATTCAAATGCAAAATAAATGAATCGTTTTGTTTGGTTCTAAAAAAGATAAAACATTTTTAAGAATGTCCTAGAGGACGGTTGGTACAGATATGTACCACTTAACATCCCGGATGGTACAATGGTTTACCACCACCCTCCGAATCAGCCCCTTACGCCACGCCCACTTTGACACCGAAGAACATGTATTTGTGGGGCAAATAACATATTGGACCCATAAATTGAAAGCTACCATTGATAGTAGAGTTCCGGGTCGAAAGGGTTAAAAAAGGAATTATAGAAATGTGGTCCAAAGTTATCCGGTAACATACATTAAAAAAAAAAAAATCCGACGAAAATCCTTTATGTAAGTCGGTGAAAAAGCATCAAAAACAGGTAGGGCTTTTTAAAAAGTGGCATGTAACTTCGTTTTTTTTTGGTACTAACATTTTAAAGTTTTTATTGAAGGTGTATTTTAATATATCTTACCTTAATCTGTGAAAAACGCAGCTTCGAAAAAAGTTTTGGTTACGCCCTACATGTGTGATTTAAGGTAACGATAAACGTGATATTTTTTCTATGAGAGCGAATTCTCAGAAATTAAGTTACTGGAGAGTCGCTGGCAAGTTACTGGATAATTTGTAAACAAACACAACTAATGTGTTTTTTGCTATGCAAGACAAACATTACATACACACAAAATGGTTGAAATAACCTGACAATTTTTAATACATATTGGTATTCACCAAATTGAGCCAGTGGTTAGGTACAACGTAAAATAGCGGAAGCAGCTTACGAACCTCAGCTCAATTAGTTTAGGCGAATTTTTTCCTTCCTTAATTAAATAGACATGCACTTATAACAAGAATTAAGCATAAAAATACACATTTGTCACCTAAAAAATATATATAATAGCTATTTACAATTCTCCGCATTTTTCTAGTAACATATATGTACATATGTACATATGTATTTCAAAAAATCGTTGAATAGCGTGCGTTAAGTTTTTTCCATCGATTTTATACCGTTTTACACTTTACATTTATCGATAACAACTCACACAACTTCCATTTCCGGTTGTCTGTTATTTATCAGTTAGAAGTGTTTTGCATAGTGCTTGTGAGTGAATTTTGTTTAAAATATAATTAAGAAAATGTAAAAGGTGCACCAAAATGTGTTGAAAAAACAATTCTACCGCCTACACTAGCGTCGATAGTTCATGCAGCGATGGGCTTGTGATATTGCTCATGTCGAGCGTACCTGGTATACCCGGGCTGACTGAGCCGCTAGCCTCACGCGCACTCAACGTCAAACAACCACCACCACCGTTGGACAATTGTGGCGGCGGCGGTAGCGGCTTTGGCGTGGGTGGTGTCGCCGTTGATGGACGTAGTAGAAATGATGAGTTTAGCGCACCGGTCGAGAGTAGGGCATTGAAGCTGCCGTGTGAATGATTCGGCGAGGTCGGCGTAACAGAAGTCGGATGTAGTGCCGATACTGCTCCAAATTGTGTTAGGGTTTGTGACTGCGGCTGTGCATTTGTATTGAGCGTGTGTGCATACGCTTGTGGCGCATAATTAAAAAAGTGATGGGGATGATGAGGGCTAAGAAATTGTGCAGGCGGTGTTATGGGTCCAATATGCGACAGCATTGACATGTTAAGTGGTGGGCTGCGATAGCTAATCGTTTTTTCCTTTTGCCAAATAAAAACATTATGAACCATAGCGCCGCCGCAAAAGACGATGCCAATGCCAATAAGTACGCTGGTTATAATGGCAGGTGTCGAATGAAAATGGTTGAATGTGTATAGGATAATACCTAAGAAAGGAGTAGAAAATGATAATATAGTGAAAAGAAAAAAAATACATGTAATCGTATTTTTCTAAACAAAATTAAAAGACCGCTGCTAACCAGTGAGAAAAATTGGTATGGATATGAAAAAACCGCCAACTGCACAGGTGCGACTCGCACTTGATTTTTCCAAGTATTTGTTGTCTCTGTAATGCAAAACCAAAACAAAAATTAAGTAAAATAGTCAATCCACTGATATTTGTGTTTGTGTACCTACCTGCCATCGAACATTGGTGATCGCACCAATTTCACAGCGAACAGAAACTGTATCGCACACACCAACAGGCAGCACAGATTCAGCGACAGCGATAGTGCACAAAGCGCTAATGTCACATCGTACACAATTACAAAGTCCTCAGCTGAACTGCGCGTCAAAGCATCTTCGCGAGCGTTTGGTGAAATTTTCAACAGAAAAATCAACGACAATAAAGCTAATAGCAGGGAAACTGCAAGTAATAAGCGGAATAAAAAGAAGAAACTATATGTACAAGCCGTTCAAATACAGGTAATTAAATATGCAATTTGTTTATATGTACATTAGACTGCATCACTCCCAATATAAAAAAAAAAAATCCGTACTTTTTTTCCACTGGAATTATAAAATCTATTATATTTTAAGACTTCCACCAAAATATCACGCAAAAATATTAAAATTGACGTGAGCTGGACGGATTTGAAAATACCTCCAAAAATTTAGATTTTAATTAATAAAAACATTTTTTAAATATTTTTTGAAAGAAAGTACCTCATATGACTAAACAGTTTAAGTTTAAAAAGTCTGCATAAAAATATTTAAAAAATATAGGGCTGTGCGATTATTCGATTACTCGAGCAAGTTGGTTAATCAATTATTCGGTTAATCAATTACTCGAGTAATCAAGATTTTGATTACTCAAAACGATGATTAATCGAGTTACTTGAAATATGATTACTCAAAAACAATAATTTTGCTCGTTAAAAGAGTTTGCTTTGGAAAATGCTTATTTTCTTTTTTACATTCTGTATATGAAAAAAATTTTTGTTTTAATTTTTGAAAACAGAAACATTGTTTTCAAAGTTCCTACTTTAACTACTTTGTACATAAGCCCATTCAACGTATGAAAGAGGAAGGTAAGATAAACAAGTGTCATTCCATGTTGAATTAAGATGTGTTGGTATTTGATAAAGAAAATATTGGGACGTGAATGGATCTTTTGCAAGGAAATAAAAAGGGTGAGAAAATACATTTCCACTGATACCTCATAAGTCTATATCGGTAAAGTTTTGGCGCAGTTATTCAAGTTTTTCTTACACAAATCTTTGAAAAAAGTAAAAAAAACTCATCAAAAATCTTATTGATTCCGTTGATACAATTTTTTAATATTTTTATGTAGATTTTTTAAGCTTAAACTGTTATGTCATCCGAGGGGATTTTTCCTTCAAGAAACTATTTCTATTCATAAAAAACTCCATATTTAGAGGTATTTTCAAACCCGTCCAGCTCACTTAAAGCTTAATATTTTTCCGAAATATTTTGATAGAAGTCTTAAAATATACTAGGTTTTGCAATCCCGCCGGAAAAACCACAACTTTTTTGGTGATGCAGTCTAATGTACATACATACATACACCCAGAAAAAATTCAGTCAAATATACATATTTTTCTCAAAAACACATATAGCTGCCGTAACTCAACTTTTTTCTGAGTGTACATTAGGGCGGGTCAATTTGTATTGGAGATTTTTCCGAGTATAAGCGTCAGGGCCGGATCTACGGCGGGGGAAATAGGGGAAATTTCCCCTCCCAAATCCGAGTCGGTCGAGAAATCCGAGTTTGGTTAGAAATTTCAATTACACTCTTGGTATTATGATTCTAATTCCGGAACAATTTCGTGCTAATTGAATTTTTTTCTGGTATGAAATTTGCAATTTCTTATAGATTTTGTCGCTGAACTCATATCTGAAAAATATGCACAGCATTTCATAAGCATCTCTTGTCCTTTCACAAGTCCCACAGTGTGCTTTTTGACCTCTGCACGCGAATTAATCGTAGCGCCTTCGACAGAAGCAGCATTTTGATACGAAACAAAATGGTTTTGAGAGCTAAAATAAATCCCTTTCAATTGTGGCCACTGAGCCACAATTACCCCTTGACCTTAAAAAAATTGGTCAAAAGTAGTGTTTTTCGAAAAAAAAACATGCAAAATACATGGGATTTATTCCAAAACAAAAAATTTATGTATTTTTTATTATACTAGTATTATAGATTTTGAGACGAGCAACACGATTCCACTGTCCAAAATTCGAAGAAAAATTTGAACACCTTATTTTAAAAAATGCATTATTTGTTGTATTTTCTATTTGCATGCAGCTGTGCATCCTTCACTCAATTTTATATTCCTTGAAAAATAAGTGCAATTCAAGACCTTTAATTTGAGCCAAGGTAGAAAAGCCTCTAGGCCCTCTGAGAGCCAAGTTATAAAAAATTTAAACCAAACTTCGAAACTGCGGTACTAGTTTTTACTCCGAAATTAAAAAAAAAGATTGCGTAAAATGGCGAATGAAATTTCGAAGTTTAACTTTAGAATCGTAATAATTTAGCTCTCAAAGGGCCTAGAGACTTCTACCTTGGCTTAAACTAAAGGTCTTCAATAGCACTAAAACTGACTTGTTGTTCGAGGGACAAAAATTGTGTGAAGGATGCACAGCTGCATGCAAATAACAAAAAATGCAATATATAATGCATTTTTCAAATTGAACGGTTGACATTTTTTTTTGGTTTTTTAAACAGTGGTATCGTGTTTCTCGTCTCAAAATCCATAATATTAGTATAATAAAAAATCCAAAAAATGTTTTTTTTTTTTTAATATATCCGTTGGATTTCGCATGTTTTTTTTTTCAAAGAACACTATTTTTGACAAATTTTTTGAAGGTCAAGGAGTGATTGTGCCTCATTGGCAATATTTTTCCTTGAAAGGTAATTAAATTAGCTTTCAAAGCCATTTTGCCTCATATCAAAATATTGCTTCTGTCGAAAGCGCTACGATTAATTGGCATGAAGTGTTAAAAAAACACACTGTATGCCGTCGAGTTAGCTCGAATATCTTATTTTTCAGTCGAGAAATGTAATTTTGAAATTTCAAAATTACTACGGTGCATTTTTCTCAAAAACATATGACTCAAAACATATGATTTGTAAAAATATAATTCATTTATAAACAATATATAATATAATAAAATAAATGTCTATCATACTTGGGCGTACAAAATTTTTGATTCTTATTTATTGAAAATTTTCACTGTTGTGCCCTCTGGTGGAAGTTTTAAGAGAAAGATAAGTTCAGAAATGAATTCCTCATACCAAACAACCCCTTTTAGCATGTTTTTATACAAAACTTAAGCACTTCCTTACGATACTACAGGATAGCTATTTTCGCAAATTGGCAAACTACAAATAGATTTTACTCCCATGGTTTCCTCGGCAAATTCGGGTTATGAGATAATTGTCCTCCTTTTTTTGACACGCATACATATATCGACGCTTTAATTGTGTATGAAGTAGAGATGGGCACGGGGCGAAATATTTAGTCCCGATCCCGCCCATCCCGAAATTCAATTTTTAAGTCCCGAACCCACCCATCCCGCAGCTTTTCAAAATTGTACCGTGGGTCCCGAAATTTATCACTAAGAAAAATTCACATGTCTTTTAAATTAATTTTAAATAACAAAAAAATAATGAAAGATCTGGCATCTTCCGATTATTTTATTTTGCCTTGCCCGTCCTTTTCGTCCCAGTAAAACATAAAAAAAGTGCATAATTAACACATCGTTTTTAAGGAAGATTTTCCGAATTTGCTGAAGTTGCGCTTTTATCGGGAGTGTCGGGAAAGGATTTTGGTCCCGTCCCTCCCGCGAAATTTCACAGACCTTCCCGATACCGCCCATCCCGGCCAATTTTAAAACAGGACCGTGGGTCCCGATATCCCGCGCCCATCTCTAGTATGAAGCAAAAGCGTGGAGTTTTACGTGCAGGTAGCCGGTAGCAGTTTAACCCAAACTCAATTTAAATTAAACTCATCGCAAAACGATTTAAACTTAACCATTTAAGCGGACGTAAATTGACCGAGGGATACTGTACCGACCTACACTCAAGTTTTAGAAGAACGTTTTTCGTTTTGTAGATTTTGGCGTTGATCAGAAATCCAGCCCTAGTGCCTTAATGAACCCAAGCAGTTTCGCGGGCGACAGAAAATTAATGTGCGTAGGCTCTGGCCACAACTCTCCAAGGTGTGTTATTCTTCTTCTCGCAACCACAACGCACTCTAAAAGAAGGTGTAGTGGGGTTGCGGCTGTCGCAGAAACGACAGGAGTCGTTTGCACTAATCTCCAGGGTGCTCATATGGGCCCGCAGTCTGCAGTGATCCGTTAGCACATCTGTTGAAAATCTTAGCCTTGAGATTGTAACTTCCCAAAAGTTCTTTCGCCTGCCTTAGTCCAGGCATGCTCTCCCTAGTATGTCAGCCTATTTTTTGCCCTGTATGCCTTTGTGGTCTGGAACCCACAACAATTGTAGTGTGTTATGTTCCCCCATAATATTCAATCTCGCTAGACATTCAATGTATACTATATGTGATTTGATTTCACATGAGGATATGGCTTTTACTGCGGCCTGACTGTCACCTCATCTGCCCTTAGTTGTCTGTGCAGAATTACTTTCGCACTGATGGCATAAACCTCCGCTTGAAAGGTGGTAGGCTAATCCTCCAAGAAAATAGATATTTTGGCCTTAGGACCATATATTTACTGCCTCTATACCATGTCGACTCTGTTGAGCTTGGATATAGCAATCTTGGTTCACTTTAACCTTGCCGGTGCCCTCTCTCATAAAGTTGAGGAGGGCTTTCTTAGCAGTCTATTCTATGAATATGTGTACCAGCGTTTGATCTGGAATGACCTTCACGGCAGCAGTTGGGCAAGGGCGCATGAACCCCCTCTTACTTCGTGAAAAATTTCTTATTTGTTTAATTTAATTTGCTTTTAGCTTAATTTAATTTGCGTTGAGTTGAATTTGAATTACGTTTGGATTAATTTTCATTGTAGTGGTTTTCTGAAAAAAACAAAAAACAAATTTTCATTTCAATTTGTTGCTAAATTCACCTAAGCACAGCAGCCCCAAGCTGGTCAGCGCCTCACGTGGTCCAGGTCCATGCTTCGATTGATTTATCAACGCACCAGCAGTCAGATTATGGCAATTGCTATAATTATGATTATTATAGTGCGCAGCATTGTGATTATGATTATTGTTATTGATATTGTTGTTTATTGTGCCGGTAGCGGTGGCGGTGGTGTTGTTAAGAGTATTATTATTATTGTTGGTGTAGTTGTTGCTAGCCAAAATGTGCTGATTTGTGTAGGTGTGCAAATTATTGCCGATGCCATTCGGTGTAAGCGGCGTTACGGGCGTCGTTGACGTCCGTGTTGCTGTCGCATTGCCGGCGTTCGGCGACAATGGTGTTACCGCCACATTGGTATTCGCAGCGCCACTTGCTATCGGTGTTGAGGCGATATTCAATAGGGTTGGTATGCGTTGACCTCCATTTGCCGTCACCGAAGTGCTGGACGTTTGCAAAGCGTTCTGTGTGGTACTTAGCGTCGAGATATTAAGCGGCTGCTGTGGTCGCAGATGTATGCTGCGGTTGACCGCGGACGTGGCATTGCTGTTGCTCGGGTTATTTCGCAATTGACCATTGGCAGGTCCCCCTCCTCCTCCTCCACCGGTATTCGAGGCGTGCTTTAACATTATGCAGGTGTAGTGTATGTCAACAATGGGAGGTTGTCGGTGTCTTCGGAATTTTTCGCCGAATTCAATCACATTCTGATAGACCTCAGTACGGAGAGCTCTGCGGAAGATAAAAGAGAGTGTTTATTAAAATAGGACAAAAATTATACATATGTACATATATAATGGACTATTTCGGAAACTTTCAAAACAGTTTTTGACTCCATCCTACAGCACCAATAGAGCAACGCTTGGTCAATTCTACATTGAAACAAAAATCGCTCTTGGTGGCGGAAATTTCTTCCAACATAGACCGTATCAACCCAATTCGGTAAACGACAGGGGCTTAGAGTGCGACCCACTCATATTAAGTACTTTGTCTCATAACCCAAACAATATAAGCGGTGCGGTAGATGGTCCACCCAGCCTGGGATGAAGCCAAATGGAAATTATTATGCGTTCAGCCCAGGGCTTCGGAGTGGAGCAAAGCAGCAAGGAGCTAGGGAGCAAAGGACTTTAGCTGGAGTGGAGCTGGGGCAAAGAGCTAAAAAAAATTCATTTGCTCCTCAGCTCCTTAAGTACAAATTTTCAATATTTTGTTTTTGTTATTTTCTGGCCTAGTATTTATTTATTTTGAAATATGTTTTTGTTGTTGTTTTTCTACAAAAATTTTAAATTAGTTTTTTCCCACTAAAAATTTCAATTCATTTAATTTACTTGGAAGTTTTTTTGTTAGATGCATTTCTGCATCAAAAAGAAAAAAAAAAAAAAAAAATCGCCTAAGTTTTTTGGCAGTGAAAGCTCGATATGTAAATAAATAAATAAAGTTTTTTATTGCGAGCTGGAGTGAAATAAAATACCGCTGCGGAGCGATAAAAAAAACCTTTGCTCCGAAGCCCTGGTTCAGCCTACTGGTTTAAAAAGAAAAAAAGAGGAATGCGGGTACTTTTCCAAAAATCCGAAGGTTTTCAATGAGACTAGCACACTTCTTCTTCTTATTAGGCGCTGAAATCGCCTAAACAATTTAGTCGAGTTCAGCAAAACACCTACAGACGCCAATGGGAAAAGCCAAGTGAAGCCAATTCCTTCTCCACTACTTGGTCTTTCCATCGCAGTAGCACTCTGCCAACACTAGCGGGTTCCGAGTGGAATACTTTCAGAGCTGGAGTGTCGGTTTCGAGAGAGAACTTTACTGCTAAATTCACCTAAGCATAGCAGTCCAAAAGAGCACTTGGTGACCAGAGTGATTCCGCGTTGAATTTCGATGCTGACCGGTTTAATTGCGAAATAGTCACATTTCGAGATAGTTGAACTTTGCACAAGCAATAGTTGATGATTAGTATATGTACCTAAATACAGTCGTGTCTGGATATAGTGAACTAATTTTTGCATGGCCTGTTCACAGCATCCAGGTTGTTCACTATATTAAGGTTGACTTATTTTGTTCAAAAACTTGTTTTATTTGCTCAAAATTCATGTTTGTGTATGTAAGTGCAACAGATCTTTGGAATAAATGTATACTTAGGGAAATATAAATGGACATATGAATGTTTATTGAAAGAATTCGCGAATAGATGTTTCCTTCATGCATAAGGAAATTGACTTTTGGGCCGCTTTTCACGTAGAGTTCCCAATACTATTATGCCAGCATAGTCAGTTTTTAATAGCTTCAGTGGCTTTCATAGCTTTTCCGATCTGTCCTTTGCCTTGGTCATCATCACCAATTTCCGCAGTATCCTCGGCATCTTTCTCTAAATCAATTGGTTCGTCGTCTTCGATTGTATTCCAATTTTAGATATCATTTTCGGTGTAGGTTTCCTAAGACAATTAAAGTACATAAAAACGAAATGGGCAGGTGAATGTCAATAGGGTCAATAAAATTACCTTCGGTATTACAACTTTCAGCAGACCCTGTATATCATCGATTTCTTTATATTTTTCCTGCAATATTTTTTGGCGAAGTAAGCTCAGAGGAACATCATCGTCTTCATCCTCGCTTTCATTTGGCTCTGTGGCATTGAAACATTCTAATAAAGGCTTCCAACATTTCGCTGTTAAACTTGCCTTCAGCTGATTCCAAGCAAGCATTAAAAATGATACAGCATCTTCAAAAGTTAAAGTTTTTAAAAATTGTGTGATGTCATCTTTTCCTACAGCTAATAACAGCAGATGTTTTTTGTAGTACAGCTTAGTTTAGCGAATCACATTTTGATCCATAGGCTGAATAAAAGGCGTTAAATTTGGAGGCATATAAACCACGAATATTGAGCCATCAGCAGTTTTAAGTTCAAAATCTGGCGGATGGCTAAGGGCGTTATCAAGCAATAGGATAGCTTTGGTTGGTAAACCCTTTTGTAGCAAATAATTTTGAACCTAATAACAATTAAAAACGAAAAAATACTCGGTAAAACTGTTAGGAATTTAAAATGTATTACGTGAGGGACGAAGCAATGGGGAAACCATTCTATGAAGATGTCTGCAGTTGCACCATAAATTTCCGATTTTTTCAACAATATCAGATTTTTGCTTCAACGAGAGGAGTTTCCTCGCAGACATGATAACACTTAAAAATTATTTAAATGCTAAATATTAGCACACAAAAAATAAAAAATAAAAAACACGTAAAACAGCGCATGTTCACGCACAAGCGGTTGGAACTCGACAAGAACCAAATAAACATTAGCATCAAATAGAAGCAGCTTTTCTAGTAATAAACATAAAGTGATAAATTTCAGGGAGTAACCGCTTTCATTTCCGGTTAAATTTGGTATTTTTCGTCAATTTATGCTTGCCGTTGCTTTTAAAATTTTGTTCACTACTTAGAGGCTTTCGATTGTTCACTATTTAGAGTACTCTGTGTAAATATTTCGGTGTTCACTATATGGAGGTGTTCACTATAGCCGGCGTTCGCTATATAGAGACACGACTGTACATTCATAATGATGTGCACAGAGTTTTACAATTATATTAAGGAAAAGATAGAAGTTTTGAAACAAGTTCACAGCAACGAAAAATATGACTGATATTTTAATATTATCTTGTACTTAAATTTTTTTCTTTCATGAATCCTGGAGTACTTATAAGTATAGTGCCGTACAAAATTATTAGCTCGGAGGCTCTTTCATCAGATCACAATTTCTAATAAGATCTTTTAGAAAAATTTTGAAAATGTAGCTTTTGAGCCAATTAATAAAGTGCAAGTCTGAAGTTGCCAGCAACTTTCGTTGATTTTTAGCATTTATTGTTTTTTGCTGACAGTGTCTTCCATATAAAAAGAATTATCGAACATCAACTAAAATTTAATGGGCTGCAAAACTTCATTTTAAACATTTTTATAAAAAGTCTGATTAGAATGTTGCAAATTTGTATGCAAATTATTTGAATTTTCCCGAGATTAGCACAAAGTTTAACAATTTTATTTGTATGTTTTTTCATATATTTAGTATAAACTGTATTTTTATAAAGAATAAAAAAAAGGTTCATGCATTGTGAAAAATTCTCTGTGCTTTAGTTGGGATAAGTTGTTTTGTTTTGTTGGCGTACGTTGTAATGATCTCATGTTTTTATGTTTTTATTTTTGTCTGTCAAAATAAAATGTTACTACATCCTTTCGCACGTCGAAATGAAAGAGAACGGAGCGAGAGGCCCTCCCTAAAGTGTCCCGGTTTGGCAACAGAGATATCTGGCAGCCCTATCTTCTGAGCTTGTTGAGCAGTATGGTTGTGTGCCCCAGCTTTTCCTCCGCATAAGTTGCTGCTGCAACGCATTGCATTCCCCCAACATCTACTTAAAATATGTCTATAATGATAATAACAAATACATATGTATATGGATAACGGGCAGCGATAACCGGGTTATTTTCTTCACTAAGTATACAAAGTACTAGTAAAATTGGCGATTGTATTTTTATGAGAAGCTGTTCTTTATGACAGAAATACATTCGGAGATTTGGCATTGCCTGCCGAGGGGTGACCGCTATTGGAACATTTTTTTCTTTTATGTTGGTCGGAACTGGGCTCGAACCGAGGCCCTGCGGAATGGTAGTGCGCACTTCTTATTACTAAACCACATCGGCCGCTAGCAAACGTACTTATATAGAGCTTTATCTCATCAGATTTTTCGACTTCGTACATATGTACTTTAGAGTGGCCCAATTTTTGTATGGGGAAAAAAATTTCATTCTAGCAAACGGGACACCAACTTAGTTTTTCCATTTTGATATTTGTAATATCTGTACCAACATTCAATTTTCTACTGTAACCAATACAGGATGCTCAATGACCTTGAAATGCGAACTGGCAAAAATATTGGTGATTTTTATTAAAAGCTACTGTTGCCATGACAACAGGAGCTTGTGCTATTTTTTTAGATAATTTGAATTTGAAATGTTCTTAGGTTGCTTAACCAATTGTTTGATTAATATCTATATATGTACACACTACTTGTAGAGTAAAATATGAGCATCCTCTAAATTTATACTTCGAAACGTAAAGTTTGGTATCAGCACCTCTTTCGGCAAGGCGAACAATTTTGCAAGGTGCCCCAAACCCTATCTCGGAAAATTTTTTTGGACCACTCTAATGTACCATGCACAAATATTTGTGCTTCACAACAACATCAAGTTGATTAGCGTACTCCACTCTGGCTATCTTAAGCTACAGATAATCTATAAAAAAAACGTCGGCTGACAGCTTTTATTTTTTCGTACTGAAATTCGCAACAGTTGGTTTATTAACAAAAAAGAACAAAAAAAAACTAAAAGCAACAGCGAAAAATCCCTTGCTTAAGTAATCCCATAATAAATATGAATGAACAAGAGTGTTTTTGATTACATATGTAGTTTTCTATGTTCATGCATATGTATGTAAATAAGTAAATATGTACTTAAATTTGTGTGACTATAACCCAGCTAGCTATGTACATATGTACACACATACATATGTACATAGCAACTTTTTGCTCATCAGCTTTCTTTCCTCATTGTCTAACCATGATCTTGGCTCAGCCTTGTCCGATGGTGGCCTTTCGCTGCTTGCATGTTGCTGCTGCAGTTCAGCCAAGGTTTTTCTTTTTCAATTGTTTGTTGATAGGTACATTCTAATTTTCCACACGCTGTTTTTC